CACACACACACACACACACACACACACACACACACACACACACACACGTAAAATCACTCTATACATACCTCTATTTATCAGTTCTTTCTCTGGATGCAGATAGCTTCTTCCTTCATATGTCCTTTGCAGTTAATTTGAGTATTTGTAATAGTCAAAATGACTTATTCATTCAAAGTTGTTGTTAAAACAGTATTGCTGGATACAAAATTTTCTTGGTTCTGTTTATTTTGCTCTCCATTATTTCATGCAAGTCTGTATTTTCTTAAGATCATTGAGCTCATCATTTCTTATAGTGCAGTAGTATTCCATCACAATCATATACCACAACTTGTTTAGCCATTTGCCAATTGACAGGCATACTCACAATTTTCAGTTCTTTGCCACCACAAAAAAAGCTGCTATAAATATTTTAGAACATACAGGTTCTTTTCCTTTTTCTCTAATCATCTTTGGAAATAGACCAGTAGGTCTAAGGGTATTTCTGGATCAAAGGGAGTATAGGCAGTTTAATAACTCTTTGGGTATAATTCCAGATTGCTCTCCAAAATGATTGGATCAGTTCACAATTACACCAACAATGAATTAGGTCCCACTTATTCCGCATCCCCTCCAACATTTGTCATTTTCCTCTTCAGTCATTTTATCCAATCTAATTTTGTTAAAATGATTTCTTTTTCTTTTTTTTTTTTTTTTGGTGGTGGGAAAGGATTAGGCAATTGGGGTTAAGTGACTTGCCTAGGGTCGCATAGCTAGTAAGTGTCAAGTGTCTGGTCTGAGATCAGATTTGAATTCGGGTCCTCCTGACTTTAGGGCCAATACTCTATCCACTGCGCCACCTACCTGCCACCATAGAATGATATCTTAAGGTTGTTTGAATTTGCATTTCTCTAATCAGTAATTATGTAGAGCATCTTCCTTCCTTCCTTCTAAATGACCTAGAAGCTTTGTAATCTTACTTGTAAGGATGTTCCTAATATCTGTATCCAGTTTTCTCCTTTGGCTCCTCAACTTTTAACCTGGTCATCTCTTTCTAACTATGTCTACTTACCACCATCCCATTCCACCATCAAAATTTCTCATCTCCTCATAATAGTTTCTCGCTACTTTCTTACTCAGACATTTTGATGAACTTACCTGCCTGCTGTAGCCTCATCCTATGACTATGTTATTCCCCATCTGTCTTTGTATATACTATTTTCTGCTATTAGATCACCTTGTCTGTACTCTCTGCCAATTGGTTTATTTCACCAACTGCAAAAGTCATCTTAAAGTTGTCCTTCGCTGATTGCACCTATTATCCCTTTACTCCTCCCCTACCCCAACTTCTTTGGGGATTATGTACACCATACTAATTTAAATTGAACTAGTTCATGTATTACTCTATAAAATTGTTCTACTATTTTCAGCATATAGTCTTCTAAATTGCAAGTTCTTTGAAGCCAGAGAGCTATTTGACTATTTCTTTTACCTCTTTCTTCCTTAATAGCAACTAATAAATATTTTAATCACAAGTAAGATGCTTAATAAATGTAGCCTTATGGTTGTTCAGTGATTTCATTGGACTGCTCAACATAGTCATGGCATAAGTCATGTTTTATTCTTGTTGATGTTAACCATTGTTGGGCAGGTAAACCTTTTGGATATTATGGAATATATAAATACAGTCTATTCTTGATAAACAGTGGTTACTGGTGATAGATATAAAATCAACATTCTAATTCATAAAAGGCTAAAGCTTTAATTTAGTTGATAACTGGTATCCTACATTCCCACTCTTAATCTCTTTCAAGCATCTCTTTTCCTTGAGTTTCATGCTTTATGTTTTCTGTGTTCACCTTCTGGGATGGTATGAGCAACGAAATGGGAGAGGGGAAAAGATAATCAGAGCATGCTTTATAATTTACAAAATGGACAGTTAGCTCCTGAATTGCTGAATTGCTTGCTTATAAAATTGGTTCTGGAAGGGAACTCAGAAATTATCCAGACTGATATCCTCATTTTTTACATGAGAAAACTGAGGCCTTGAGAGGACAAATTGACTTTCCCAAGGTTTTATAAGTAATGGATTGCAAAGTTGTGATTCAAATCCATGACTTCTGAATCCAAAAGCAGCATTATATTGATACTAATCTTACATGTATTTCTGGTTGGTGTTCTCCCTTGTAGATTATGATTCTCACTATAGTAATGAAATATTTCTAATGATTAATGCATTTATCCCTTTAGAGCTGATTCAGAACCATAGGGTAAGTATACAATCACCCAAGACAACTAAAGGTTAGAAGAACATATCTCTAAGGCCTCTTGTAAATCATCCTCATGCCAAGGACCTCATACAAAGCCTTCAGAGCACATTTTCCTGGAGTTGGGTTACAGCTTAGGCAGCCCACAACTTTATATATGCCTGTTGGTTTGTACTTTGGCTATGCAATCTCTTAATAGATAGCTACACAGGCACCGTATGAAGTAGCTTGACTTCCAGGTCTAGAGATTGGTTTTGAATTTCAATAAAGCACATTATGTAGTGAGATAATAACCTTTTCAGGTTAAAGAGAATAGTTACATGATCTTAGAAAATATGAAGAGATTCTCAATCATAGAGGCAAAATATTTAAATTGAATGTAATCAGCTTTCTGACAAATAACCAAATTATAAACAAGAAGAATATTTTTTTCCCTAAGTAGCTTTTTAAAAAATCCAAAAATAATAGCATTTACATGGTAGGATTTGTTAATATTTTTTAGACATTATCTCTTTGAGGTACTGGTTTTCATCCAAATTTTATTAAAAACCATTTTACTCACAGCTGCCTCTTTCAGAGACTTGTGTTTGGCAAAGTGAATTTATTTAGTCTTTGTTGAAAAAACATTTCAGAACAGTTTAAGTCTCCCCATTCTCATTACAGAAAAATGTGCAGGCATCCCTTTGGAGGAAAACACTCTCATCTGGAAACAGCTGTAATTACAGTAATTTTTATTTACATGCTTGTTTTCAAACGATTTGAAGTTTTGTCTGGCAAATCTTTTTGGAACTTCTTTCTAATGCTTCCCTCCATAGCCATGCCATTGCCCAGCCTTAGGGGTGAGTATATTTGGTAATGAGGTCATTCTGCTAATTCAGTAACTCAGCTCTCAGATAGGTAGGGACCAAGCCAAATACACTTTAAGCCTAATTACACTGTATATCAGTGGGTAGTATAAGATTGAGAATCCCAGTTGCTTATTAAAGATATATTTCAGGACCTCTAATTTCATCAATGTGCTTACTACCTTTGCTGATGCACCTTTCAACCCCTGTGCAACATAGTAGATGGTTGTCCAGGATTGTTGTGGTAGAAGAATCTTCCTCGCAGCAGTATCAATGAGTTTCTCTGACTTTCACTGGCTGAGTTACCAATGACAAACATATAGCCCATCACCAGGCTTGTAACTGAAGCCTTTCTAGCTTGGGCTTTTCTGGCGTAGTCCTTGATGAATTGAGAGACCTTTGTGTGCTGGTGATGAATCAGAGTAGGACTTTAATGGAATTGTTTCACATTAAAAATATAACAAATTTGAAACTCAATAGCCCCACAGATACAAAAAGGAAGATAATCTCTTCCTTCGAAGATCTTACACTCTAATAGAGGAAGATAACATATGGGGAAATGGTGGGTATTTTCATCTGAAATTTTATGGGGATAGTGAAGGTAGTCATAGGGCTGTTGATTGCAACATTTTTTCCAAGAATGGTAGTATTGATTTGAGTATAGTTGGGGAGGGGAAAGGACAAAGGGGAAACATGTACAGTGTAAGGCATGGAGAAGGCATGGTGGGCCTGAGAGCATCTAAATATGGTGAACTTCATCCAATCAGGAATGTAGAGTCCCAGAGATGAAAGCTGTAATACCTAGTTGGAGGTGCAAGGTGGTATAGAACAATATGGCTGGAAGATGGCTGAAGTGTATATTGTAGTGAGTCCAGGGGCCTCCCAGTGTGATGAAATTTTTTCATATCTAAAATGAAATATTGACTAGATGAGATTTCATTCAACCATAGCACTTCAAGTTAGACAAGAC